ACGGTTAAAGGGTTATTCCGCATTTTTTGCCGATCCGCACACATTGGAATTTCGCTAACTCCTCCGAAGGCTTTCGTTCCACCGGCACCACATTTGCTCAGGCCAATCTACACCCCATGGCCATTAAAAGTTATTCAAATCATGACGCTGCACCCCACGGTTTAGGTTCTAGGGGGCGCCAAAGATAACCCTAAAATCCACATATTTAAAAGTCTTATAACTTTTTATTTTTGTCCTCACTGGCCTCCAAGTTTTCTAGGATGATGCAATGTCCAGCCATCAACACATTTGTGAAGGAATTTTTACTCCCCAAAAGAGTGCCCCCCCATGGCAGGAGAAAAAAGTCAATTTTTTCTTGTCCCCTAAGGTGGAAATTCACACTATTGACTGTCACGCCTGTACGCTTTATCATATTGACACAAAAATTGACACACATATGTATCTCAATAAGATCTACAAAAAAGTCAATGCGCGCGTATCTGTCAAATGTACGGTTAAAGGGCTATTTTGCATTTTTTGCCGATTCGCACACATTGGAATGTGGCTAACTCCTCCTAAGGCTTTCGTCCCACTGACACCAAATTTGCTCAGGCCAATCTACACCCCATGGCCATTCAAAGTTGTAAAAATCATGACGCTGCACCCCACGGTTTACGTTCTAGGGGGCGCCAAAGATGACCCAAAAATCCACATTCTTAAAGGAATCCACATCCCCCCCCCCCCCCCCCACAAGGCAGGAGAAAAAGTCAAGTTAACCCTGCCCATCGCTCAATGGCTCAATCGCATCGCTCTCCAGGCAACACTGTAAGGAGGAGCAACCTGCCATTTCGATATATCATAGCTGTGTTTGTGCCCTCACTCATGGTCCAGACTTTTTTCAAATAGGACATGAAGTTTGTCTGCAGCGAGTGTTTTGGTAGAAACTGCGCCTCCCATTCATTATAATGGGAAATGACCACAGACAAGTGCGCACACCATCTTTGGACCTTGAGTGTGACGCGATCGGGAGGGGGAGGCGGTAGCGCTGGGGGCGGGGGACGCGGCTCGGGCCCGACAGTGCCCCACCGGGGCCCTAGTTTCTTCTTTTTCCTCCCCTTTGAACTGGAAAATGGCCCACTTCCCACTGGCGAAAACTCATGAAATTTGGCAGGACGACCGGGCCTGGTGAAAAATTCGATATTCTGAAGTCGCCCAAACAATAAAATGCAAAATGGCTCCATAGCGCCCCCTAAGGTGGAAATTCACACTATTGACTGTCACGCCTGTACGCTTTGTCATATTGACACAAAAATTGACACACATATGTATCTCAATAAGATCTACAAAAAAGTCAGTGCGGCCGTATCTGTCAAAATTACGGTTAAAGGGTTATTTCGCATTTTTTGCCGATCCGCACACATTGGAATTTCGCTAACTCCTCCGAAGGCTTTCGTTCCACCGGCACCACATTTGCTCAGGCCAATCTACACCCCGTGGCCATTAAAAGTTATCAAAATCATGACGCTGCACCCCAAGGTTTAGGTTCTAGGGGGCGCCAAAGATAACACTAAAATCCACATATTTAAAAGTCTTATAACTTTTTATTTTTGTCCTCACTGGCCTCCAAGTTTTCTAGGATGATGCAATGTCCAGCCATCAACACATTTGTGAAGGAATTTTTACTCCCCAAAAGAGCGCCCCCCCATGGCAGGAGAAAAAAGTCCATTTTTTCTTGTCCCCTAAGGTGAAAATACACATTGTTGAGTGTCAAGCCTATACGCTTTGTCAAAATGACACAAAAATTGACACACACATGTAACTCAATAAGATCTACAAAAAAGTCCATGCGCGCGTATCTGTCAAATGTACAGTTAAAGGGTTATTCCGCATTTTTTGCCGATACGCACACATTGGAATTTCGCTAACTCCTCCGAAGGCTTTCGTTCCACCGGCACCACATTTGCTCAGGCCAATCTACACCCCATGGCCATTAAAAGTTATTCAAATCATGATGCTGCACCCCATGGTTTAGGTTCTAGGGGGCGCCAAAAATAACCCAAAAATCCACATTCTTAAATGTTTTATAACTTTTTATTTTTGTCCTCACTGGCCTCCAAGTTTTCTAGGATGATGCAATGTCCAGCCATCAACACATTTGTGAAGGAATTTTTACTCCCCAAAAGAGCGCCCCCCCATGGTAGGAGAAAAAAGTCAATTTTTTCTTGTCCCCTTACATAAAAATACACATTGTTGAGTGTCACGCCTGAACGCTTTGTCATATTGACACAAAAATTGACAATCATGTGTATCTCAATTAGATCTACGAAAAAGTCAAAGAGCGCGTATCTGTATAATGTACGGTTAAAGGGCTATTTTGCATTTTTTGCCGATTCGCACACATTGGAATGTGGCTATCTCCTCCTAAGGCTTTCGTCCCACCGATACCAAATTTGTTCAGGGCAATCTACACCCCATGCCCATTCAAAGTTGTAAAAATCATGACGCTGCACCCCACGGTTTACGTTCTAGGGGGCGCCAAAGATGACCCAAAAATCCACATTCTTAAAAGTCATTTTGGCCACTGCAGGAGTACAGAGTACTGCAGTTCTAGGGGGCGCCAAAGATGACCCAAAAATCCACATTCTTAAAAGTCTTTTTGGCCACTGCAGGAGTACAGAGTACTGCAGGATACACACACATATACACACACGCCAACATACACACACACACACACACACACACACACACACACACACACAGACACACACCCACACTCAGAGTCTGGTTTTTAGCACCTGCAAAAACATGCTGTTTACATATTTGACAAGAATGCAGAGGCTTCCTTTTGCCCCTGAAAAAAATCAAATTTCAAACACAACTTGACTGTTCATTTCTCCAAAAGACAACCATGAAGCTCCATTTCAAACCTGAAGCAGATAGTTGGTGCATGTGTACAGTAACCTGAGGGGAGTGAGGTGACTATTTCTGAGGAGAACATGAGCAGTGAAGATTCACCTTGGAGCTAGAACAGGGACGTGCACATGATTATACAGGGGCAGGGGCTCAAGTTTTTTCCAGTCATTTATACAATATGGAAATTAATGTGAAATTAAACCACAAATATGTGTGATGAACTGTTTTTAAAACTTAAACTTCAAATAAAAATTGTAAACTTCAAAACATATGCAAATTTTTAACAAAGAACATAGTAATTTACCTCTATTTACATCAAAATGCAGGCAATGGCCCAGGCGTTCTTTGTAAAATTATTTACAAAACACTGTATAGTCTCACAAATGTCACTTTTTATTTATGCCACTACAAAAAAACATGATGTAAATGATGCATGATGTAAAACATGATGTAAAAAACTTGTGTAGATCCTCCTCTATGTCAGTCCATGTGTAATTTTTCCATAATTCTTTGTTTTTTGCAGCATTTTTGTTAGTGTAACTGCAGATTGTGCTGACAGTGTCTATGGCACAAAAAAAAAAAAAATTTTTAATGCCTCAACATGAACCCGTGGTGGTCTCTGAGGGTGAAACCTGCTAACTGCTGCAGCTCTGTCAGCTTCAGTCTCCCATGCAGAGCTCTGAGCGCATGTGTGGCTCTGCACCCTTAGCAGCGTTGCTAACTCCTCAGTATGGAAAGCCTGCTTCATGTCAGAGTCTCTAAACTCCAGAAGAAGTCGATAAAAGTCCCTTTCTTTCTAAAAAAAAGTCGTTAGGGGGTCTGAAAAGTCATTGACTCTAACAACAAAGTCGCTAGGTTTGCAACTACGTGTCCCAGACTGCATCCCTGCTGAGAGTCCCTCCCTCCCTTCTCATGTTGCAGGAAGAACGTAAGCGCCCCCCTTGTCAATCAGTCACCATATAATTTTGGATTGGTTGTTGTGGTGAAGTTTTCCACCAATAGGAGAGATGTTGTGGTGTGTTTTTTTTTTCTTTTGGCAAGCCTTTTCCGCCTGTAAGAACTGTCGCTAATGTCTGCATGCTATGTTTTCCTGTCTCATACAGCGCGATCGAGCGCCGAACGTGATCAAAATAAGCAGAAAAAAAATATCGCGGACATAATTTATCATAACTCTGGTTTTATTTGGCCTATCAACACAATTTAAAAACTGGTATATAGGTTGAGGTCCTCACTTTTGAGATAAGTTGAAACGGAGAGTCAACGAGGCTCCGTCTTGCAGCTACATCCGGTTAAATATGTCATGTGACTTGAACGCACACACAGACACACACACACACACACACACACACACACACACACACACACACACACACACACACACACACACACACACACTCAGAGTCTGGTTTTTAGCACCTGCAAAAACATGCTATTTACATATTTGACAAGAATGCAGAGGCTCCTTTTGCCCCTGAAAAAAATCAAATTTCAAACACAACTTGACTGGTCATTTCTCCAAAAGACAACCATGAAGCTCCATCCAAACCTGAAGCAGGCAGTTGGTGCATGTGTACAGTAACCTGAGGGGAGTGAGGTGAGTGCTTCTGAGGAGAACATGAGCAGTGAAGATTCACCTTGGAGCTAGAACAGAGACATGCACATGATTATACAGGGGCAGGGGCTCAAGTTTTTTCCAGTCGTTTATACAATATGGAAATTAATGTGAAATTAAAACACAAAGTATTAATAGAAAGGTAATGACTGTCCTGTGTAGGTGACAGTGATATCCAATAGGCTAGGCACTCACGAGGCTGGCTGTGGCAAGTGTAAGTGAAAGCAACACGCACTGGCAGGAAGAACAGCAAACGCCGATGAAGGAAAAGGGTCTTTGCAGTGATGGGCGTTACCAGAGAGGGCGATGGCCAGAGGACACAAATGGGACGGGGAGGCAGCACGTTGGGGGGGGGGGGGGGGGGACGCGACACGGCTCGGGCCCGCCAGTGCCCCAACGGGGTCCTAGTTCTTTCTTTCTTAGGGCCCGAGCCAGCTGCAGAGCAGCCGGGCGTAGGCCCTGTTATTCCTGTAGGGGTTTTTCTTTGTTTCTTTCTTAGGGCCCGAGCCAGCTGCAGAGCAGCCGGGCGTAGGCCCTATTATTCCCCAAGTGGTTTTTCTTTGTTTCTTTCTTTCTTTTTAGGGCCCGAGCCAGCTGCAGAGCAGCCGGGCGTAGGCCCTGTTATTCCTGTAGGGGTTTTTCTTTGTTTCTTTCTTTCTTCTTTTTCCTCCCCTTTGAACTGGAAAATGGCCCACTTCACACTGGCGAAAACTCAGGAAATTTGGCAGGACGACCGGGCCTGGTGAAAAATTTGATATTCCGAAGTCGCCCAAACAAGAAAATGCAAAATGGCTCCATAGCGCCCCCTAAGGTGAAAATTCACACTATTGACTGTCACGCCTGTACGCTTTGTCAAAATGACACAAAAATTGACACACACATGTATCTCAATAAGATCTACAAAAAAGTCAGTGCGGGCGTATCTGTCAAATGTACGGTTAAAGGGTTATTTCGCATTTTTTGCCGATCCGCACACATTGGAATTTCGCTAACTCCTCCGAAGGCTTTCGTTCCACCGGCACCACATTTGCTCAGGCCAATCTACACCCCATGGCCATTAAAAGTTATTCAAATCATGACGCTGCACCCCACGGTTTAGGTTCTAGGGGGCGCCAAAGATAACCCTAAAATCCACATTTTTAAAAGTCTTATAACTTTTTATTTTTGCCCTCACTGGCCTCCAAGTTTTCTAGGATGATGCAATGTCCAGCCATCAACACATTTGTGAAGGAATTTTTACTCCCCAAAAGAGCGCCCCCCCATGGCAGGAGAAAAAAGTCCATTTTTTTCTTGTCCCCTAAGGTGAAAATACACATTGTTGACTGTCACGCCTGTACGCTTTGTCAAAATGACACAAAAATTGACACACACATGTATCTCAATAAGATCTACAAAAAAGTCCACGCGCGCGTATCTGTCAAATGTACGGTTAAAGGGTTATTGCGCATTTTTTGCCGATTCGCACACATTGGAATTTCGCTAACTCCTCCGAAGGCTTTCGTTCCACCGGCACCACATTTGCTCAGGCCAAATTACACCCCATGGCCATTAAAAGTTATTCAAATCATGATGCTGCACCCCACGGTTTACGTTCTAGGGGGCGCCAAAGATAACCCAAAAATCCACATTTTTAAAAGTCTTATAACTTTTTATTTTTGTCCTCACTGGCCTCCAAGTTTTCTAGGATGATGCAATGTCCAGCCATCAACACATTTGTGAAGGAATTTTTACTCCCCAAAAGAGCGCCCCCCATGGCAGGAGAAAAAAGTCCATTTTTTCTTGTCCCCTAAGGTGAAAATACACATTGTTGACTGTCACGCCTGTACGCTTTGGCAAAATGACACAAAAATTGACAATCATGTGTATCTCAATTAGATCTACGAAAAAGTCAAAGAGCGCGTATCTGTATAATGTACGGTAAAAGGGCTATTTTGCATTTTTTGCCGATTCGCACACATTGGAATTTCGCTAACTCCTCCTAAGGCTTTCGTCCCACTGACACCAAATTTGCTCAGGCCAATCTACACTCCATGGCCATTCAAAGTTGTAAAAATCATGACGCTGCACCCCACGGTTTACGTTTTAGGGGGCGCCAAAGATGACCCAAATATACATTACAGTAGACAAAGTAGTTTTGCCCACTGAGTGGCGCCAAAGGGACTTGTCTGTGGAGTCTGTGAGTCACTATTGGCCGTTTTTGACTACTTTAGATTTTACCTTTATATTTCCTCTTACAAAATTTTTACCTTGCCTTGCCTGGTATCATTTTTTTCAGCACAACCTCACCTGTGTCAATTTACAGTTATTTTATCATTTTGACATACTATATTTACACATTGGACCCAAATTCACACACAAAACATAAAATCCGAGTGGAAAAAAGTAACGTTTTTACTGTGAAAACCACAAATATGTGTGATGAACTGTTTTTAAAACTTTAACTTCAAATAAAAATTGTAAACTTAAAAACATATGCAAATTTTTAACAAAGAACATAGTAATTTACCTCTATTTACATCAAAATGCAGGCAATGGCCCAGGTGTTCTTTGTAAAATTATTTACAAAACACTGTATAGTCTCACAAATGTCACTTTTTATTTATGCCACTACAAAAAAACATGATGTAAATGATGCATGATGTAAAACATGATGTAAAAAACTTGTGTAGATCCTCCTCTATGTTAGTCCATGTGTAATTTTTCCATAATTCTTTGTTTTTTGCAGCATTTTTGTTAGTGTAACTGCAGATTGTGCTGACAGTGTCTATGGCAAAAAAAAAAAAAAAACTGAAAATGCCTCAACATGAACCCCTGGTGGTCTCTGAGGGTGAAACCTGCTAACTGCTGCAGCTCTGTCAGCTTCAGTCTCCCATGCAGAGCTCTGAGCGCATGTGTGGCTCTGCACCCTTAGCAGCGTTGCTAACTCCTCAGTAAGGAAAGCCTGCTTCATGTCAGAGTCTCTAAACTCCAGAAGAAGTCGATAAAAGTCACTTTCTTTCTAAAAAAAAAGTCGTTAGGGGGTCTGAAAAGTCATTGAATCTAACAACAAAGTCGCTAGGTTTGCAACTACGTGTCCCAGACTGCATCCCTGCTGAGAGTCCCTCCCTCCCTTCTCATATTGCAGGAAGAACGTAAGTTCCCGCCCCTTGTCAATCAGTCACCATATAATTTTGGATTGGTTGTTGTGGTGAAGTTTTCCACCAATAGGAGAGATGTTGTGGTGTGTTTTTTTTTTTCCTTTGGCAAGCCTTTTCCGCCTGTAAGACCTGTCGCTAATGTCTGCATGCTATGTTTTCCTGTCTCATACAGCGCGATCGAGCGCCGAACGTGATCAAAATAAGCAGAAAACAAGTATCGTGGACATAATTTATCATAACTCTGGTTTTATTTGGCCTATCAACACAATTTAAAAACTGGTATATAGGTTGAGGTCCTCACTTTTGAGATAAATTGAAACGGAGAATCAACGAGGCTCCGTCTTGCAGCTACATCCGGTTAAATATGTCATGTGACTTGAACGCACACACACACACACACACACACACACACACACACGCACAGACACAGACACACGCACACACACACACTCAGAGTCTGGTTTTTAGCACCTGCAAAAACATGCTATTTACATATTTGACAAGAATGCAGAGGCTCCTTTTGCCCCTGAAAAAAATCAAATTTCAAACACAACTTGACTGGTCATTTCTCCAAAAGACAACCATGAAGCTCCATCCAAACCTGAAGCAGGCAGTTGGTGCATGTGTACAGTAACCTGAGGGGAGTGAGGTGACTGCTTCTGAGGAGAACATGAGCAGTGAAGATTCACCTTAGAGCTAGAACAGAGACGTGCACATGATTATACAGGGGCAGGGGCTCAAGTTTTTTCCAGTTGTTTATACAATATGGAAATTAATGTGAAATTAAAAAACAAAGTATTAATAGAAAGGTAATGACTGTCCTGTGTAGGTGACAGTGATATCCAATAGGCTAGGCACTCACGAGGCTGGCTGTGGCAAGTGTAAGTGAAAGCAACACGCACTGGCAGGAAGAACAGCAAACGCCGATGAAGGAAAAGGGTCTTTGCAGTGATGGGCGTTACCAGAGAGGGCGATGGCCAGAGGACACAAATGGGACGGGGAGGCAGCGCGTTGGGGGGGGGACGCGACACAGCTCGGGCCCGCCAGTGCCCCAACGGGGTCCTAGTTAGGGCCCGAGCCAGCTGCAGAGCAGCCGGGCGTAGGCCCTATTATTCCCCAAGTGGTTTTTCTTTGTTTCTTTCTTTCTTTCTTTCTTTCTTTCTTTCTTTCTTCTTTTTCCTCCCCTTTGAACTGGAAAATGGCCCACTTCCCACTGGCGAAAACTCATGAAATTTGGCAGGACGACCGGGCCTGGTGAAAAATTCGATATTCTGAAGTCGCCCAAACAATAAAATGCAAAATGGCTCCATAGCGCCCCCTAAGGTGGAAATTCACACTATTGACTGTCACGCCTGTACGCTTTGTCATATTGACACAAAAATTGACACACATATGTATCTCAATAAGATCTACAAAAAAGTCAGTGCGGCCGTATCTGTCAAAATTACGGTTAAAGGGTTATTTCGCATTTTTTGCCGATCCGCACACATTGGAATTTCGCTAACTCCTCCGAAGGCTTTCGTTCCACCGGCACCACATTTGCTCAGGCCAATCTACACCCCGTGGCCATTAAAAGTTATTCAAATCATGACGCTGCACCCCAAGGTTTAGGTTCTAGGGGGCGCCAAAGATAACACTAAAATCCACATATTTAAAAGTTCTATAACTTTTTATTTTTGTCCTCACTGGCCTCCAAGTTTTCTAGGATGATGCAATGTCCAGCCATCAACACATTTGTGAAGGAATTTTTACTCCCCAAAAGAGCGCCCCCCCATGGCAGGAGAAAAAAGTCCATTTTTTCTTGTCCCCTAAGGTGAAAATACACATTGTTGAGTGTCACGCCTATACGCTTTGTCAAAATGACACAAAAATTGACACACACATGTAACTCAATAAGATCTACAAAAAAGTCAATGCGCGCGTATCTGTCAAATGTACAGTTAAAGGGTTATTCCGCATTTTTTGCCGATACGCACACATTGGAATTTCGCTAACTCCTCCGAAGGCTTTCGTTCCACCGGCACCACATTTGCTCAGGCCAATCTACACCCCATGGCCATTAAAAGTTATTCAAATCATGATGCTGCACCCCATGGTTTAGGTTCTAGGGGGCGCCAAAAATAACCCAAAAATCCACATTCTTAAATGTTTTATAACTTTTTATTTTTGTCCTCACTGGCCTCCAAGTTTTCTAGGATGATGCAATGTCCAGCCATCAACACATTTGTGAAGGAATTTTTACTCCCCAAAAGAGCGCCCCCCCATGGTAGGAGAATAAAGTCAATTTTTTCTTGTCCCCTTACATAAAAATACACATTGTTGAGTGTCACGCCTGAACGCTTTGTCATATTGACACAAAAATTGACAATCATGTGTATCTCAATTAGATCTACGAAAAAGTCAAAGAGCGCGTATCTGTATAATGTACGGTTAAAGGGCTATTTTGCATTTTTTGCCGATTCACACACATTGGAATGTGGCTATCTCCTCCTAAGGCTTTCGTCCCACCGATACCAAATTTGCTCAGGGCAATCTACACCCCATGCCCATTCAAAGTTGTAAAAATCATGACGCTGCACCCCACGGTTTACGTTCTAGGGGGCGCCAAAGATGACCCAAAAATCCACATTCTTAAAAGTCATTTTGGCCACTGCAGGAGTACAGAGTACTGCAGTTCTAGGGGGCGCCAAAGATGACCCAAAAATCCACATTCTTAAAAGTCTTTTTGGCCACTGCAGGAGTACAGAGTACTGCAGGATACACACACATATACACACACGCCAACATACACACACACACACACACACACACACACACACACACACAGACACACACACACACTCAGAGTCTGTTTTTTAGCACCTGCAAAAACATGCTGTTTACATATTTGACAAGAATGCAGAGGCTTCCTTTTGCCCCTGAAAAAAATCAAATTTCAAACACAACTTGACTGTTCATTTCTCCAAAAGACAACCATGAAGCTCCATTTCAAACCTGAAGCAGATAGTTGGTGCATGTGTACAGTAACCTGAGGGGAGTGAGGTGACTATTTCTGAGGAGAACATGAGCAGTGAAGATTCACCTTGGAGCTAGAACAGGGACGTGCACATGATTATACAGGGGCAGGGGCTCAAGTTTTTTCCAGTCATTTATACAATATGGAAATTAATGTGAAATTAAACCACAAATATGTGTGATGAACTGTTTTTAAAACTTAAACTTCAAATAAAAATTGTAAACTTCAAAACATATGCAAATTTTTAACAAAGAACATAGTAATTTACCTCTATTTACATCAAAATGCAGGCAATGGCCCAGGTGTTCTTTGTAAAATTATTTACAAAACACTGTATAGTCTCACAAATGTCACTTTTTATTTATGCCACTACAAAAAAACATGATGTAAATGATGCATGATGTAAAACATGATGTAAAAAACTTGTGTAGATCCTCCTCTATGTCAGTCCATGTGTAATTTTTCCATAATTCTTTGTTTTTTGCAGCATTTTTGTTAGTGTAACTGCAGATTTTGCTGACAGTGTCTATGGCACAAAAAAAAAAAAAATTAAAATGCCTCAACATGAACCCCTGGTGGTCTCTGAGGGTGAAACCTGCTAACTGCTGCAGCTCTGTCAGCTTCAGTCTCCCATGCAGAGCTCTGAGCGCATGTGTGGCTCTGCACCCTTAGCAGCGTTGCTAACTCCTCAGTAAGGAAAGCCTGCTTCATGTCAGAGTCTCTAAACTCCAGAAGAAGTCGATAAAAGTCCCTTTCTTTCTAAAAAAAAGTCGTTAGGGTGTCTGAAAAGTCATTGAATCTAACAACAAAGTCGCTAGGTTTGCAACTACGTGTCCCAGACTGCATCCCTGCTGAGAGTCCCTCCCTCCCTTCTCATGTTGCAGGAAGAACGTAAGCGCCCGCCCCTTGTCAATCAGTCACCATATAATTTTGGATTGGTTGTTGTGGTGAAGTTTTCCACCAATAGGAGAGATGTTGTGGTGTGTTTTTTTTTTCTTTTGGCAAGCCTTTTCCGCCTGTAAGACCTGTCGCTAATGTCTGCATGCTATGTTTTCCTGTCTCATACAGCGCGATCGAGCGCCGAACGTGATCAAAATAAGCAGAAAAAAAGTATCGCGGACATAATTTATCATAACTCTGGTTTTATTTGGCCTATCAACACAATTTAAAAACTGGTATATAGGTTGAGGTCCTCACTTTTGAGATAAGTTGAAACGGAGAGTCAACGAGGCTCCGTCTTGCAGCTACATCAGGTTAAATATGTCATGTGACTTGAACGCACACATAGACACACACACACGCACACACACACGCACACACACACACACACACACACACACACACTCAGAGTCTGGTTTTTAGCACCTGCAAAAACATGCTATTTACATATTTGACAAGAATGCAGAGGCTCCTTTTGCCCCTGAAAAAAATCAAATTTCAAACACAACTTGACTGGTCATTTCTCCAAAAGACAACCATGAAGCTCCATCCAAACCTGAAGCAGGCAGTTGGTGCATGTGTACAGTAACCTGAGGGGAGTGAGGTGAGTGCTTCTGAGGAGAACATGAGCAGTGAAGATTCACCTTGGAGCTAGAACAGAGACATGCACATGATTATACAGGGGCAGGGGCTCAAGTTTTTTCCAGTCGTTTATACAATATGGAAATTAATGTGAAATTAAAACACAAAGTATTAATAGAAAGGTAATTACTGTCCTGTGTAGGTGACAGTGATATCCAATAGGCTAGGCACTCACGAGGCTGGCTGTGGCAAGTGTAAGTGAAAGCAACACGCACTGGCAGGAAGAACAGCAAACGCCGATGAAGGAAAAGGGTCTTTGCAGTGATGGGCGTTACCAGAGAGGGCGATGGCCAGAGGACACAAATGGGACGGGGAGGCAGCACGTTGGGGGGGGGGGGATGCGACACGGCTCGGGCCCGCCAGTGCCCCAACGGGGTCCTAGTTAGGGCCCGAGCCAGCTGCAGAGCAGCCGGGCGTAGGCCCTATTATTCCCCAAGAGGTTTTTCTTTGTTTCTTTCTTTCTTTCTTTCTTTCTTCTTTTTCCTCCCCTTTGAACTGGAAAATGGCCCACTTCCCACTGGTGAAAACTCATGAAATTTGGCAGGACGACCGGGCCTGGTGAAAAATTCGATATTCTGAAGTCGCCCAAACAATAAAATGCAAAATGGCTCCATAGCGCCCCCTAAGGTGGAAATTCACACTATTGACTGTCACGCCTGTACGCTTTGTCATATTGACACAAAAATTGACACACATATGTATCTCAATAAGATCTACAAAAAAGTCAGTGCGGCCGTATCTGTCAAAATTACGGTTAAAGGGTTATTTCGCATTTTTTGCCGATCCGCACACATTGGAATTTCGCTAACTCCTCCGAAGGCTTTCGTTCCACCGGCACCACATTTGCTCAGGCCAATCTACACCCCGTGGCCATTAAAAGTTATCAAAATCATGACGCTGCACCCCAAGGTTTAGGTTCTAGGGGGCGCCAAAGATAACACTAAAATCCACATATTTAAAAGTCTTATAACTTTTTATTTTTGTCCTCACTGGCCTCCAAGTTTTCTAGGATGATGCAATGTCCAGCCATCAACACATTTGTGAAGGAATTTTTACTCCCCAAAAGAGCGCCCCCCCATGGCAGGAGAAAAAAGTCCATTTTTTCTTGTCCCCTAATGTGAAAATACACATTGTTGAGTGTCACGTCTATACGCTTTGTCAAAATGACACAAAAATTGACACACACATGTAACTCAATAAGATCTACAAAAAAGTCCATGCGCGCGTATCTGTCAAATGTACAGTTAAAGGGTTATTCCGCATTTTTTGCCGATACGCACACATTGGAATTTCGCTAACTCCTCCGAAGGCTTTCGTTCCACCGGCACCACATTTGCTCAGGCCAATCTACACCCCATGGCCATTAAAAGTTATTCAAATCATGATGCTGCACCCCATGGTTTAGGTTCTAGGGGGCGCCAAAAATAACCCAAAAATCCACATTCTTAAATGTTTTATAACTTTTTATTTTTGTCCTCACTGGCCTCCAAGTTTTCTAGGATGATGCAATGTCCAGCCATCAACACATTTGTGAAGGAATTTTTACTCCCCAAAAGAGCGCCCCCCCATGGTAGGAGAAAAAAGTCAATTTTTTCTTGTCCCCTTACATAAAAATACACATTGTTGAGTGTCACGCCTGAACGCTTTGTCATATTGACACAAAAATTGACAATCATGTGTATCTCAATTAGATCTACGAAAAAGTCAAAGAGCGCGTATCTGTATAATGTACGGTTAAAGGGCTATTTTGCATTTTTTGCCGATTCGCACACATTGGAATGTGGCTATCTCCTCCTAAGGCTTTCGTCCCACCGATACCAAATTTGCTCAGGGCAATCTACACCCCATGCCCATTCAAAGTTGTAAAAATCATGACGCTGCACCCCACGGTTTACATTCTAGGGGGCGCCAAAAATGACCCAAAAATCCACATTCTTAAAAGTCATTTTGGCCACTGCAGGAGTACAGAGTACTGCAGTTCTAGGGGGCGCCAAAGATGACCCAAAAATCCACATTCTTAAAAGTCTTTTTGGCCACTGCAGGAGTACAGAGTACTGCAGGATACACACACATATACACACACGCCAACATACACACACACACACACACACACACACACACACACACAGACACACACACACACTCAGAGTCTGTTTTTTAGCACCTGCAAAAACATGCTGTTTACATATTTGACAAGAATGCAGAGGCTTCCTTTTGCCCCTGAAAAAAATCAAATTTCAAACACAACTTGACTGTTCATTTCTCCAAAAGACAACCATGAAGCTCCATTTCAAACCTGAAGCAGATAGTTGGTGCATGTGTACAGTAACCTGAGGGGAGTGAGGTGACTATTTCTGAGGAGAACATGAGCAGTGAAGATTCACCTTGGAGCTAGAACAGGGACGTGCACATGATTATACAGGGGCAGGGGCTCAAGTTTTTTCCAGTCATTTATACAATATGGAAATTAATGTGAAATTAAACCACAAATATGTGTGATGAACTGTTTTTAAAACTTAAACTTCAAATAAAAATTGTAAACTTCAAAACATATGCAAATTTTTAACAAAGAACATAGTAATTTACCTCTATTTACATCAAAATGCAGGCAATGGCCCAGGCGTTCTTTGTAAAATTATTTACAAAACACTGTATAGTCTCACAAATGTCACTTTTTATTTATGCCACTACAAAAAAACATGATGTAAATGATGCATGATGTAAAACATGATGTAAAAAACTTGTGTAGATCCTCCTCTATGTCAGTCCATGTGTAATTTTTCCATAATTCTTTGTTTTTTGCAGCATTTTTGTTAGTGTAACTGCAGATTGTGCTGACAGTGTCTATGGCACAAAAAAAAAAAAAAATTAAAATGCCTCAACATGAACCCCTGGTGGTCTCTGAGGGTGAAACCTGCTAACTGCTGCAGCTCTGTCAGCTTCAGTCTCCCATGCAGAGCTCTGAGCGCATGTGTGGCTCTGCACCCTTAGCCGCGTTGCTAACTCCTCAGTAAGGAAAGCCTGCTTCATGTCAGAGTCTCTAAACTCCAGAAGAAGTCGATAAAAGTCCCTTTCTTTCTAAAAAAAAGTCGTTAGGGTGTCTGAAAAGTCATTGAATCTAACAACAAAGTCGCTAGGTTTGCAACTACGTGTCCCAGACTGCATCCCTGCTGAGAGTCCCTCCCTCCCTTCTCATGTTGCAGGAAGAACGTAAGCGCCCGCCCCTTGTCAATCAGTCACCATATAATTTTGGATTGGTTGTTGTGGTGAAGTTTTCCACCAATAGGAGAGATGTTGTGGTGTGTTTTTTTTTTCTTTTGGCAAGCCTTTTCCGCCTGTAAGACCTGTCGCTAATGTCTGCATGCTATGTTTTCCTGTCTCATACAGCGCGATCGAGCGCCGAACGTGATCAAAATAAGCAGAAAAAAAGTATCGCGGACATAATTTATCATAACTCTGGTTTTATTTGGCCTATCAACACAATTTAAAAACTGGTATATAGGTTGAGGTCCTCACTTTTGAGATAAGTTGAAACGGAGAGTCAACGAGGCTCCGTCTTGCAGCTACATCCGGTTAAATATGTCATGTGACTTGAACGCACACATAGACACACACACACGCACACACACACACACACACACACACACACTCAGAGTCTGGTTTTTAGCACCTGCAAAAACATGCTATTTACATATTTGACAAGAATGCAGAGGCTCCTTTTGCCCCTGAAAAAAATCTAATTTCAAACACAACTTGACTGGTCATTTCTCCAAAAGACAACCATGAAGCTCCATCCAAACCTGAAGCAGGCAGTTGGTGCATGTGTACAGTAACCTGAGGGGAGTGAGGTGAGTGCTTCTGAGGAGAACATGAGCAGTGAAGATTCACCTTGGAGCTAGAACAGAGACATGCACATGATTATACAGGGGCAGGGGCTCAAGTTTTTTCCAGTCGTTTATACAATATGGAAATTAATGTGAAATTAAAACACAAAGTATTAATAGAAAGGTAATGACTGTCCTGTGTAGGTGACAGTGATATCCAATAGGCTAGGCACTCACGAGGCTGGCTGTGGCAAGTGTAAGTGAAAGCAACACGCACTGGCAGGAAGAACAGCAAACGCCGATGAAGGAAAAGGGTCTTTGCAGTGATGGGCCTTAACAGAGAGGGCGATGGCCAGAGGACACAAATGGGACGGGGAGGCAGCACGTTGGGGGGGGGGGGGGGGGGAGACGCGACACGGCTCGGGCCCGCCAGTGCCCCAACGGGGTCCTAGTTTCTTTTTCCTCCCCTTTGAACTGGAAAATGGCCCACTTCCCACTGGCGAAAACTCATGAAATTTGGCAGGACGACCGGGCCTGGTGAAAAATTTGATATTCTGAAGTCGCCAAAACAATAAAATGCAAAATGGCTCCATAGCGCCCCCTAAGGTGGAAATTCACACTATTGACTGTCACGACTGTACGCTTTGTCATATTGACACAAAAATTGACACACATATGTATCTCAATAAGATCTACAAAAAAGTCAGTGCGGCCGTATCTGTCAAAATTACGGTTAAAGGGTTATTTCGCATTTTTTGCCGATCCGCACACATTGGAATTTCGCTAACTCCTCCGAAGGCTTTCGTTCCACCGGCACCACATTTGCTCAGGCCAATCTACACCCCGTGGCCATTAAAAGTTATCAAAATCATGACGCTGCACCCCAAGGTTTAGGTTCTAGGGGGCGCCAAAGATAACACTAAAATCCACATATTTAAAAGTCTTATAACTTTTTATTTTTGTCCTCACTGGCCTCCAAGTTTTCTAGGATGATGCAATGTCCAGCCATCAACACATTTGTGAAGGAATTTTTACTCCCCAAAAGAGCGCCCCCCCATGGCAGGAGAAAAAAGTCCATTTTTTCTTGTCCCCTAAGGTGAAAATACACATTGTTGAGTGTCACGCCTATACGCTTTGTCAAAATGACACAAAAATTGACACACACATGTAACTCAATAAGATCTACAAAAAAGTCCATGCGCGCGTATCTGTCAAATGTACAGTTAAAGGGTTATTCCGCATTATTTGCCGACACGCACACATTGGAATTTCGCTAACTCCTCCGAAGGCTTTCGTTCCACCGGCACCACATTTGCTCAGGCCAATCTACACCCCATGGCCATTAAAAGTTATTCAAATCATGATGCTGCACCCCATGGTTTAGGTTCTAGGGGGCGCCAAAAATAACCCAAAAATCCACATTCTTAAATGTTTCATAACTTTTTATTTTTGTCCTCACTGGCCTCCAAGTTTTCTAGGATGATGCAATGTCCAGCCATCAACACATTTGTGAAGGAATTTTTACTCCCCAAAAGAGCGCCCCCCCATGGTAGGAGAAAAAAGTCAATTTTTTCTTGTCCCCTTACATGAAAATACACATTGTTGAGTGTCACGCCTGAACGCTTTGTCATATTGACACAAAAATTGACAATCATGTGTATCTCAATTAGATCTACGAAAAAGTCAAAGAGCGCGTATCTGTATAATGTACGGTTAAAGGGCTATTTTGCATTTTTTGCCGATTCGCACACATTGGAATGTGGCTATCTCCTCCTAAGGCTTTCGTCCCACCGATACCAAATTTGCTCAGGGCAATCTACACCCCATGCCCATTCAAAGTTGTAAAAATCATGACGCTGCACCCCACGGT